CTTCTAGGGGGAGGTCTTCAAGAGTCGGTGCACTTCTGGGGTGGTGTTCTCAGAAGTCGGTGCACTTTTAGGGGGAGGTCTTCAAGAGTCGGTGCGGGGGGAGGTCTTCAAGAGTCGGTGCACCAAGGACTCCAAGACACAGATTGTCGGCGCACCAGGGGTTCCAAGACACAAGGTTTCGGTGGACTATTCGCCGACGAGACCTCTCAAATCGGTGGACTGGTTGCCAACCATACCACTGATATATCTCCAGGGCGTCTCCTTTGAGTCAGCTGAAAACTTTTCTGGTTTTCAAAAGGAAATGAGGCCGCTGGTCTATGGGGAGTGCATTGAACACATAAGGTGTTTTTGGTGAGGTTCCATTTTGACAATCAAAGCTTAAAAAAAATTGAACCTCAAAAAAACAAATAAAGGATCAGGGCGCTCCCCAACCACCAGCAGGCTCATTTTGTTTTAGACATCAGGACGTGAGATCAGTGGACTTTTAGGATCTTCTTATTTATACATTGTTTGGAATCTGCAGACCGTTTTGTGGACCAGGTGTGCGGTTCGCTCGGGTTCGCTCAAGCCATGGCCATCACACCCTTTAGGGCCAAGGCTGAAGCTCTTGGCGAAGAAGGATGAATCTCCAGAGCCTGCGTCAAAGCGGGCATGCAATCTCTATGAGAAGCAAATGAGCAAGATGCCACCAGTGGATCTGCAGATGGTGAAGGAGAGTAATTAGTGATTACAACAAGACCCTCAAACAAACAAGTCTGTGTTTGACTTGTTGTGGATGCAAAAAACATGTACAGTGACTGTCTATCTATCTCTGGGGCTATCAGCATACAAAGATATTTTTCTTCCACTTCCACCATCCATCAATCAGTTCATTCATCTGTCAGTTCATCAGCCATCCACAGGATCTGCTGGAGTATGTGGGGAGCTTCAAAGGTGAGAAAGCCCTAGAAGATCATGGACACCCTGCAGCTTTGGTCAGTGAGATCTTCGGTAGCCCGACCCAGGAATCAAACCTGCTGCATTGCTCACATGTTGAGGGTTGGTTCCACGACTATGCAGTGAACATCCGCAACATGCCTTACCTCTTCAAGAGTCCAAGTGATGTGGACCCTCATCTAGTCTTATATAAAAGAATTTCATCTATACATATATATATAATTTCTTTTTATATAGGTTGGATGTCTGGTGAAAACGAACCGTGCTCACTCCCCTGCTTGGATCTAAGAAAATGGATCCATCGATGAACGGGGAAACTGTGAAGGTGCCCATCACTTGCTCGCGGCCTCCTGGAAGCATTGAATCCACCATTCTCCTCCCAGTGCGAAGCGTGTTCACATGCTTAAGATTGAAACATGGAAAAGAAACATTAATTGTGTTTTTGCTTAAGGTTCACCCCACCGGATGATGGATTGCCGGTGGATAGAGGATTGGGTTGGGACATTTGAATCCATGCTCTTCAGTGGCATTGAGCTTGGCCGGGAACCTTTGGACGTTTCCGTCAAGAGTGGACCAGGCTAGAAAAAACATCAAGAGTCAAGAGTTTGCGTGAAACCTTTCAGTCAGCTTGTGTGTGTGTGTGTTTGTTTGATGCTTTTTGTTGCTTGGATTTGCTTGGTGTGGCGCAGATTCCAGCTGGGAGTTGCAGCCGCAGTGCATGGACCAGATCAAGGGCTGGACTCGTTCCAGCGCAGTGCTCACAATCCTTTTAGCTGCAAACGAGCTAGACCAGTCGGACGCTGGGTCCATAGAGAAGTTGAAACCTCTCTTCCACGCGCTTGACAAATGCTGGATGATTCCGGTTCATGTGACTTGATTTCTGTGCTGTATATTCCAATGTTGCTGCTGTTCTTGTCTTGGCTCACTTGTGACCTGACCACTGTGTGAAATATCTAGGCGACGTTCAACATGGCGGACGTGGATCGCAGCTTCCGAAACATTTCACTCTCCTTTTGGGGGAGTGAGCGCCAAGCTCCATCGACCCTACAGTTGGCACTCCGCTTTTCCCGCATCTTAGAGCTGAGAGAGAAAGAGGGGCGTCACCATCCAGACATGACCATGGAGCAGTGCCTGATGGACGTCACGAATGAATTTAACGAGAGTCCTGGCTTGCAAGCCAAGCACAGGGTCGAGGATGACAGGTTCAAAGCAGTCCCCAACTTGCTGACAGGAAGCTGTGAAGTGATTTGGCTTGTACATGTTTTGTGTGTGCTTCTCACTGCTTGCACTGTGGGGAGCATTGCTTGCGCTCTGTCTGGTGTGCTTAGGAGGCTCGTGGTGTCATCCGGCAGCATCTTGATTCTTTCAAGTGGCACCAAAGTGCTTTTTCCACCGAGCAGCTTCGTGGATCCAGGTGGATGCTGACAGCAAGTCCAAAGGCATCTGCTTGTCCAGGCGAGCTCAGGCGATGCTTGACAGTGACTCCTCAGAGCCAAGTGCTTCATCTGAAGTTGGTGGTGAAGGTTTTTGTGGATGGAAGCCGGCGTCTTCGGGCTTCATCCAGAGCGAGGGCACGACTCAGTTCTGCGCAGTTCGATCAGTTGTGTGATTTCGCCTGTGTGTATAGCCACATCTGGGAAGAGGCAAAGCTCTTGTCGCATTGGGATGCTGAGAAAGATGCTGCCTTTGAGAAGGCTTTCTTCCAGAAGTCCATGACTCAGTCTGTTTGCGTTGACAGTACTTGTGAGCAAACTTTTTGTCATGCACTTTGTATGGGGCCCAGTCATGATATGGGCTTCTGAGGGACTATATCATGGACATTGAGGCGGCAGTCACGGCCAAGCTCAGCACATGGAAGCCTCAACACTTGGCGCTCTGGACTGACTTGGTGGAGCCATCCTGTCCGAGTGACAACGCAGGTGGAGGTCCAAGAGCTTGAGGACCAGGCTCAGGCCGCACGCTTTCGCCAGGTCAGGGCAAAATTGTCCCAGGACATCAGTGCTATGACAGCTTTCAACACCAAGAAGGATGAGACGCAGCGCAGGACCCATGTAGTATCGGTGATGCACGAGAAAGCACAGGTTGCAGTGGGGAAGCAGTTTCTTGTTGAGAGGTACATCATGGTACATTGTTCCTGCTTATGTCTCAATTCAAACGCTCGGCTCTAAAGCAGTGCTGTCAATATTTTTTAAAAGACCTGTACTCAGCATGGCATCCATCAAGTGCCTAAGGTTATGTGAGACATTCATGGAGAAGGCTTGCCGGATGTCTCTGATTACCAAGAAGGATGGATTTGACAATGGTTTTAAAAGCATGGTCCGGCAAGCAGCCACACTTCACAAGGCCATGTGTCATGATGTGTTGAATGCTGCCGGTGTGATCCTGTGTGTTCTTGGTCCTGTAGTTCTGTAGTAGTTTCTGTGGTCTATAGTCCTGCCACCAGGTGGAGGCCAAGGATGTTGATGTCATCCTTTACATAGACTGCACGAAGTTGGGTGTTATGAGCCAAGCTGAAATCAACATGGTGGGAGAGTACAGTGAGAAGATCCTGAATCGAAACCCTTGCCGTTGGAGCCTGATTTCACTTCTGTTGCGCATGTCTCATGGTTTTCCTCACAGAATCTGGCTTGAATCCAGTTGTTGAGGCAGCATGCTGTTGTTGCTGCCACCATTGCTGGTGGGAACTGAATCTGGTGGCAGCTTGCGGTCTGATTTGAGGCGCTTTTGAACGAATTGAACTGAAAGTGACTTCAACCGTGCGTTCATTATGAACTGCAAGTATTCCAGAAATCAACCCTTGCTTGCAGCAGGAAGTTGGAGGACAAACTCTTGGCATCACGCGTAGAGCTTCGTCCGTTCACGTTAAACCTCGACTTGACAGAGATCCATGGCAATCGGGAGCTGCCGTCCGCCTTTGTCTGCTTCGTGGGGGTAGTGGATGCCACCCTGCCTCTAAAGGGCACGGCGCACAGGAGTGTGTGTGGGGCTCCGGCGCCGGACGACAAGATGAATGTGTTCCTTGACTGGTTTGCTCTGAGTGCTTCAAGAATTGTGGAAATGTGTGGAAAATGGTTCAGTTGATTTTTGTCAGACTTGCTCATTTGTTTGATCTGGAGGTTCTGTGCCTCGCACCTCTGGGCACGACAGAGCCTTCCATTTCGCTCCTTCCCAAAAGCGCTGGACGAGAAGAGTTTCATTGTCCCTGGAGAGTCCTTCCTCTGCCATGACTCAAGGCGGTCTCTTACGGATTTGCAAGAGACAAGTCAATGGCTTGGCGGGCAAGGAGTTCCAGCTGCCCTGATTGAAGCCTTGACAGGCGAGGTTTTTGTCTAAAGTGAAAGCTCATGTGTTTTTTGTGTAAAGGCTTTTCTGTGTTGAAATACTTTGCATACTATTTTGCATGTGTTCCATGATGACTTCACACCCAGCTTTGCACTGTGCAGGTGACCGTAAGACCTTCCATGCGGCTGTTTTGGTGCACCCCACAGCTTACGATGGTTCTGTGGAGCTAGCTAGCCTGAGCGCTGGTATCCCTGTGCTTTCCAGCTCGGCCAATGCCACAAGCCACAACTGCGCAAAGGAGATTGTGAAGAACCACCTTGTGGATGCGCCTTGTCTTGTGTGTTTATGAGGATGCTTTGGGTCAAGAGTGGGTGAAAGAAAGCGCTGTTTGTGGTTGGAGGTTGGTGTTCTTGTTGTTGTGGCGGTTGTTTTTTCTCAAAAGACATCTAGTTGCAATCATGACTGCGTTTTCTTTTGTCAGGGTTGCTCTTCAGCATCTCTGCAACATGCTGCAGTGACATGTGTTCACTCTTCTTGACCAGGCGTGGAAACATGGCCGCAGCCCCATGGACAAGCTCATGCCTAGATACAAGGCAAGCCCTCCGGCAGAGGAGTTGCCACAGGCACCCGCTGCCCCAGAACTCAAGCTGTGCCAGGTATCGGACGGCAGGATGCTGATTCCAAGGGACATCCGACAGAGTTTCCTTGGATGCCCGATCTATGGCCCGGAATGGCGAGACCTCCTCAAAGCCTTCGACTCTGACTGGGGGGTGCAAGTACCTGCAGTGAGTGATTCGCATTCCCCTGCTGGAAAGAACACCTCTTCACCATCGCCCTTGGCAAGTGGTCCTGGGGCCAAGAAGGAGGAGGAGGATACCACAGCTTTCTGGAAGAAATACTTCCCTTTCAGTGACGACATCCAAGAGCTTGCTGGGCCTGATGCTTCGACGAAGTTTGTCCTGACCCCATAACCATACCTTTTCATCGTGGCTGTGGACAGCGCTGTGTCCATCAAGGTGTGTGAGACAACACCGCCCTTGATCTGTCATGGGGCAGACAATGAACTCGTACAAAGCAAAACAAACCCCAGATAAAGCATCAAACATCAGACACCAGGGCAGAACGCATAAAAATCAAACGCATACCTCCCACTGATGTCAGAGTTAAACACAACACAGAAAGAACACAGCTCCTCGATCACCACTGGAGCTTCATCACTCTCGAACTTGCATGGGATGCCCTTTGTAGGGCTATCTTTGCGAAACTTCTCAGCCTTCTCTCCAAGCAGCCAAGGCGCCGACTCATCATGCATGATGCTTCGTGAAGCCCTGCAACGGTTTGAGCGCAAAGGATTGGTTGAGTACACCGTGGGTGGGCATCGTTGCCAAAGGCCTGCAAGTGTCCAGCAAGGCAAGCAGGATGATTGCTTCGAGGTCAGCCCTGATGAGAGCAAGGTCCTTCTGTGGAGGCCAAACAACGTCCCCACAAAGAGCCTGAAGGCGGCGAACGTGGCCAGCTCATTCTCATGGCCTTCCCTGGAAGCGAGCCCTTTGACTTTGGCACCTTGGTGTGTTCAGAGGTACTTTCGGGGATAACATGTGTCATTCCAGGTCATTTGTTGCAGCTTGAGGTATGGTTGTGTGTCATTTGATGTCAGTCTGGTCATAGGTCATTTGATGTCAGTCTGGTCATGTGTCATTTGATGATGTTTCATTTGATGCTATATATTTGTTGTGGCTTTGAGGTATGGTCATGCCCTTTGTGGTTCTGCGTGGTTGTGTGATTTTTTTTGAAGCTTGAGGTACGGCGACTTCGCCTGTGGACCAATGAGAAATGCATCGCAGCTGCAAAGCCGCTGTGGTTCCTGAGCGAGGATTTGGAACTCACCAAGGGCTCCTGCCAACGCCTGGTCTAGAAGTCTTGGCTTCTAATCTTTGGGGAGCTGACAGCATTAAGCTGCTCTTGGCTTTGCGCAATCCACTGTGATTGCTGCTTTCAAAGGTATGTGAAACCATGCCACCGTTTCTTGCTGGCTGGATGATTGCCAGATGATCTCTACTCGAATGGGGTTGAAATGATAAAATGCAACACATGTTTTATGTGTTCTGAGTTACTTCTTCAAGAGTCTGTGTGGTTTCTATGTTGCTGACCCTGAATTTGTCGGCCGCAGTGTGGTTCCAAGCTGTGGCATTGAAAGCTCGTCTCGAATCCTCATCACTTCAATGTCGATCTACACCCAGATTGCGTTGGATGACGGTGAACTTGGAGAATATGAATTGAACCCCCAAGTGCAGAACAAGAGGACCTTTGAGGCTATCCATCAGTCATCTGCGCCCTACCGTTCAAAGCAGCTCTTCATCGGCTCCTACCCTACTTCGGGCATTGCTCGCCCGGTTGGTGCTGAGGACCCATTTGCGCAGTCATCTATGCCTGCACCACCCGCACCTCGTTCGCCCCCTGGCTTTTGTTCACTTCACATTTTGTTTCAGGCATTCGTGTTTTGTGGATTAGGCCTGGGCCCTACTGCAAAATGTTTCTATGTGTGCTCTGTGTGATTCTTGCCCAGGCCGAATCGCGAATTGGCCCGGAATTTGCTTGCTGCTATGAACCGAGAGGGAGATTCACAGCCGGAGGATTCACAGGCTCCTTTTGATCCTGAGTCACCTCAGTCTTGGGAGAAGCAAGATTTTCCTGAATTTCCTGCTGAAGGCCAGGATTTGGTTGACATGCTGGAGGAACAGCCTGACAAATCTCAGGTGGAGCCTTCTGAGAAGAAGGAGGATGCTCAGCCTGTTGCTGAGATGATTCCTGATAGCCAACCAGCTGATCCCAAGCCTGTTGCTGACCGCATGCCTGATTTGAATCAATCCGGTGGCAGTAGCGATCAGCCTGAGATGAAAAGGCAGAAGACCGAGAAGACTGATGCCGCACGAGAACTGCATCGAGCTGACAGCCGTGCTTGGCATGAGAAGTGGGTGAAAAAGGGCATTCCTCGTAACCCAGCTTCTGACCCAGCTCCTCCTGCTCCTGGCCTCCCACCAGCTACGCTTTCCAAGGCCCGTGATCGATTCATCAGTGAGTGGATTCAGGCAAGTGACATGCCTCCATCACAAGAGCGTTTCAAGAAGGCGTGCAAGGCGTGGATGGAGAGCTCAGCGAGGGCGGATTACATGGCTGCACGTGCTGGGGTCCAGAAGTGATCCATTGGTCCACTAAAGATGTTTTTGTCATATTTGTTGTGTGTGTGTTTTGTGGCAACCACAAATATTGTAAATATTGTAGAGCAAGTTGCGTTAGGGTGCTTCCTTTTTTACAAGTGGAGTGGGCTCAGCATTTAGGGTCAGGAGTGCCAGGGGAGTGTGCGACTGACCAGCTGCTAATCCATGTTTGAAAAACAGAGAGTGTTCTTCAATCGCTTTTACTTTTGTCAGAAAAACCAAAGAGGAACTGTCCAAGGTCCGTGACCAGCTTCTGATTGCTTTCTTTAGCCAAACTCTTCCATAACCCTTTGCCCAAATCGCCCAGGCCAGTCCTCTTGAGATTCTCTGGGCTCTCCATCAGCCGGAGCCCAGCGAGATGTTAATAACATCTTAGAAAATATGTGTGCACAGTGGATATGATATTGTGTGAAAGTGGAAATATGCATGAAGAGTGCGTGTCTCAAAAATGTAGACTTGACTGATGGACTGCGCATGGATTTATGAAACTAGAGCATGCGTCGAAAGATGTCTAAAACTAAAACAGTGTTCCAAAGATTTCTGCGAAGTTGATTTCTGTGAACATCTCATGAAACACTCCAGGCTTCACATCCGTGAGCTCTTCTGAAAGGTATCGGCGGTTGGTGAGCGCATGGCCTCCACCCTAAGAGCGATGGCCTCCAGTGGCCTCCAACAAAAGCGATGGCCTCCAGCCTAGTCAAGATGGCCTCCAACAAAAGCGATGGCCTCCACCCTAGTCAGCATGGCCTCCAGCAAAATACAAGTGATGGCCTCCACTTTAGTGGCGATGGTCTCCAACCAATGGCCCCCACCCTAGTAGGGATGGCCTCTGGGCCTCCACCCTTGGCCCAAAAGTGGCCTTCAGCCTAGTAGCGATGGCCTCCAACAAAAGTGATGGCCTCCACCCTAGTAGCAATGGTCTTCAACAAAAGCGATTGCCTTCAGCCTGGTAGCGATGGCCTCCAACAAAGGTGATGGCCTTGACCCTAGTAGCAGGTCTCCAAGAAAAGTCATGGCCTCCACCCTAGTAGCCAACCCAAAAAAACTGTCTTGCGCTTCCATCCATAGAGCTGGCTCCCAGCTCAGTTTCACCCAGAAAGAATCGGTTGGTGTCCATTTAAAGATGGGGTGTATCAGAAACACGTGTCCAGGTCGAATATCTGTATGTTATTTGTTTTATTGTATGTGTTTCTCATCGATGCTAAGGTAAAGTACAACTCTCACCCACATCTGTAATGCTTGTGTTTCGCCACAGAGCTTGTTACCAATAGTTTCTTAGTGTGTGTGTGGCTGTGGCCATACTATGCCATACTTGCTTCACACACTTTGCTACCAATAGCTTGTTAGTGTGTGTGGCTGTGGCCATACTACGCCATACTTGCTGCACACACTTGGCTACCAATAGCTTTCTTTGTAGCTATCTTGTGCTGCAGAGAGTGGTAGAGGAGCAAAACTCTTGGCCTCAGTTGCCACCAACTGGGCCCCAGTTGCCACCAATGTAACTTGTTGGTGCAAGACTGGATGGGCTGCTTGCGCCCCCTGCATTGGTGGAACGAGAAACCCTTAGGAACAGGGGTTGACACACACACAGAGACACACACGCAATGAGCTCGCGCAACCAGCAGGACGGGCAATGGATAGCTTGGACAACAAAAGCAAAAGGCAAAAGAAGAAGATTGCACCCCCCAGGGGTCGCGACATATTATTTGCTTCCTTGCTGTTCTTTTTTGGAATCGGCTCGCGCAAGGAATTTGCGGCAAACAATCTCAAACCCCGCTCTGAAAACTGCACTCTCAGGATGTCCCTTTTGGTGATTTATTGAGATTCGCTTTCTGCCTTAGGACCGGAACATCTGCTTGGGCGGCCGGGGTTCACGCCTCTTCTGCAGCTTCCAGCAAAAGGTCTGCAAAGGTCTGCCAAGGCTGAGCCTTCGCAGCTCTTTGCTGTTGCGATCACTGCCAACTGCTTCCCAGGTCAAGGCCGCGGCTATTGCTTGTTTTGCTCGTGCAAAAACTGCTCGGCAAAACGAATCTGCAAAGAAGCTGCCTGCAAAATGACTGACGCAATGGCTTATCGACCATGCTCGGCACGTGTAGCAAGCCCTTTACTTCTCATTGGCTTGGATGCTCATCCTATCCGATCCTATCCTCCCACCTTCTGGCAAATCCAGCATCTCACCTTCTCGAAGTATCAGCCTAGCAGATGCATCGCCTTAGTCAATTTGGAGAACTCGGGAAATGCCGATTTCATAAATAAGTCTTCCCAAGACCACGAACGGAATGTTGTTTCAGGCTGGCACCATTACTGTCACAAGCGCGTGCAACCTGCATGCATAAGCGCAACAACACCCTAGAAATAAAACACTAGAAAACCTGCGTTGTTAAAAACTAGACGACGAGTGGCCCGAAAGCATTTTTCAGTACGTGTGAAGTTAGAGTGTGAGTTATGTATTAAGTGTTCAGTGTGAAGTGTTAAGTCGAGTGTGTTGAGGCAGTGTGTGGGTCTCTGTGTGTGTGTATCTATGTCTGTGTGTGTATGTGTCTCTCTCTGTATGTCTTTCTGACGCGCAGGAACACCTTTTTCCTGCAAGTTCTTGACCTCTCGCAAGTCACCTCCGCGTACTGAAGTCGTGTACTACCAAGTCGCCAGTTCTCATCTTCCAGCTCCCCAGATACTC